TCATCTTTATTTAACATGATAAAACATGCACCTCTTTATCAAATTAAACACCAATTTCTGTTTCTTGCACTTCACTTTCATCTTAAACTTGTCATAATCCAAGATTCTTAAGCTGACTTCTCATTTATGCAAAAATGGGTTGCAACATGTTTGGGCCGGTGTTTAGGTATACTTTTTTAGGAAATAAATGTCTACAATTTATATATGAGAAACATGTACTGAAACTCCTTAGGTTAGGGATGTCCCGATACAACTTTTTCACTTCTGATATGATACCGACCTTGCAGCCTTCAGTATTGACCAATACCGATATCAATACGATACAATATCTGCACAAATCTTACATAATTTTACCTATTTCGTAGTGTAGTATGTATGAAAAGCTTGATCAAGTGATATTACTCAAACAGAAAACAAAAGCCAGAAACAGTAAGTATGAAAAAAAAAACATCCATCCATTCATACACCTGCAGAGAAAACTCATTTTGGCCACTTGTATTCGCGATCTCTTTCTTTCGGTCACTACCCAAAGCTCGTGGCCACAGGTGAGGGTGGAACGTAGATCGATCCATAAATCGAGAGCTTTGCCTTTCCGCTCAGCTCTCTCTTCACGACAGACCGCAGACGCAGCACTAATCCGCCTATCGATCTCAAGTGCCATCTTTCCCTCACTCGTGAACAAGACCCCGAGATACTCCTACACTTGATGCAGGACCTCATCCCTGACCTGGAGAAGGCACTCTACCCTTTTCCAACATATTACCATGGTCTCGGATTTAGAGGAGCTGATTCTCACCCCAGCTCGTTCTTTCTGTGTTTGTCTTCAAATTCCATTTTTGGTTCTTTTTTAAACACAAATAAGGTTTTTCTTTACGCCAGCAAGGTAAAGAAAAACCTGATTTGTGTTTAAAAAAGAACCAAAAATGGAATCTCATCCCAGCTGCTTCAGAGCCGTAGATCATGTTCTGATGAAGCCAACAGAACCACATCATCTGCCAAAAAATGCTGTATTTTATGTATTTATTTATTTGTTTACTTATTTGTTTTTTTTTATTTATTTATGTATTTGTTTGTTTGTTTTTTGTTTATTTTTTAAACAAGTTTATTTATTTATTTATTTTAACAGGGGTGATCCCATTGGCATACAGAATCTCTTTTTCAAAAGCCAAGACAGCTAAAATTATTCCAAAATTAAAACAACAGACAAGGAAAGGCACGTTTTCAATGTTGACAACATCTTGAAATGATCACTAACAGTGCTCAGTACCAACACACGTGCATCTAGTGATTTATATTCTTTATCCTTGTTTTGAACTGAGCCATTGTTGTTAAATAGGCATTTTCACCAAAGACATTTTGTGTTGAGGGAAATGTTTTACATAATGTGGCCATGTGTTTGAAGCTTACCTTTTCTGTAGGTGATTTTAGGATCCAGAAGGGAACATAAGGGTAAGAAGACAGTTCACATAATATTGCCTTATAATGAAAGTTAAGTTAGTTAAGTTGGTGGACGTAATTAAACCGAGTTGATCTCCTGAAGACATCATACCACCACGGCTATTTAAGGAAGTCTTTGATGGAATAGCACCATTAATATTGAAAGTTATTAATAGCAGTTTGGTCTCTGGCTATGTCCCAATTGATTTTAAAAAGACTGTTATTAACCCACTGTTAAAGAGATCGGGGTTAGATGCTATGCAGCCTTGCAACTACCGGCCGATTGCAAAGCTCCCTTTTCTGAGTAAAATTCTGGAAAAATGTGTCTATACTCAGTTAATGGATTTCCTAGAAGAGTCTGACATTAAGGAAACTTTTCAGTCTGGCTTTAAAGCTTTTCATAGTACGGAAACGGCACTGATAAAGGTATTAAATGACATTATGTTGGAAACTGATAGGGGAAATCCTGTGCTACTTGTTTTGTTGGACCTTACAGCTGCGTTCGACACTGTGGACCACGAAGTGTTGCTCCATCGTTTGGAGTATAATGTCGGACTCTCTGGTCTGGCCTTAGACTGGTTGAGATCTTATTTGAAGGATAGGACTGTAAGTGTAAGGATGGGTGGGTTTAGTTCTGGATTCACATACCTGCAGTGGGGGGTCCCACAGGGTTCAATATTAGGACCACTATTGTTTTTGATTTACATATTGCCACTGGGGGACATCATGAGGAAGTATGGAATTCGATTTCATATGTATGCTGACGATTGCCAACTTTACTTACCCTTGGATTATAGAAGCGACTGTCCCATTAGTCATGGTTGACGGACAATTTTTTATGTCTGAATGAAAGCAAAACTGAGGCAGTGCTGTTTGGGTTACATCGTGATTTAGAGCGATCAAAACTAGATTGTAGGGATATGAATGCCTACCTACGTTCTTCGGCAGTCAACTTAGGAGTGACATTAGATAACGCTTTCACCTTTGATGCACATGTGGGTGCGGTTGTATCGTCCTCTTTTTACCACTTGCGACGTCTGGCCAAAGTGAAGTCATTTTTAACTAGAAAGGACCTCGAGACTGTTGTGCATGCATTTATCACCTCTCGTTTAGACTACTGTAACTCTGTCTTAATTGGGGTGAGATAGAGTACAGTAGCTCGTCTGCAGCTTGTGCAAAACGCTGTGGCAAGATTCCTAGAAGGGAAAAGGAAATATGATCATGTGACACCCATCCTGACAGATCTGCACTGGTTACCGGTCGTTTTTAGAGTGTGTTTGAAAAATTATTTTATTGGTTTTTAAGGCATTGAATGGGATGGCACCAGAATATTCATCTGACTTGTTACAGCCATATATACCTAGTCGTTTGCTCCGCTCAGAGAGTCACCATATGCTTCTAGTCCCCGCAACTAGGCTCAAAACAAGAGGAGACAGGGCTTTTTCGGTAGCAGGCCCAGAATTATGGAATGATCTTCCATTATCTGTGCGACTCTCCACGTCAGTAGAGGTTTTTAAGAAGGCGCTGAAGACCCATTATTATAATCTGGTTTATAAATCTGTGTGTTAACTGATGTTTTGTATTTTGCTGTTTTTAATTTTTTTTATTGGGTTCCTATATATTCTTTGTTTTTATCTTTTTAGTTTAGTCTTGTGCACCACCTTGGTGACATGATATATGTCTGTAAGGTGCTTTTATAAATAAAGGTGATGATGATGAATGCTCCAACCAAAGCTCAGTGGTCTATGGTGGTATGAGTACCCGCCCTGAGGCTGCGAGATTATGGGTTCAAATCCACGGTTGGGTCATACCAAAAACTTTTAAAATGGGACCCAATGCCTCCCGCTTGATGCTCAGCATTAAGAGGTTGTATTGGGGGTTAAACTAACAAATGGTTCCTGGGTGTGGCCATGTCTGCAGCTCACCGCTTCCGAGGGATGGGTCAAATGCAGAGAAACACATTTTACCACACACTAGTGTGTGACAACTAATGGGACTTTAATTAAAACAAATGTTCTGGGTTGAGTACGTCCAATGATGATACAAAATTCAAATGTTGGAGTAAAAAGTCAAAGTCTGCCAGCACTGGTCTCTGAGTTTCTGAAATGAGAATAAAATAGATGGTAATCAATTTAAAGTCAGACTGATAAAATTAGTTTACTATTCGAAAAGTAACATCACTGTGCTTTAGATTATATCACTCTTATCTAGGATTCTAAAGGTCTGTTTTATGTCAGAGGAAAGATATACTTTTATAAAAAATATATTGTAATCTTCTTCGCAAAGTCTGATATTCGCCATCAAACTAGTCTTTATTTCATTTCTTGAGATTGATACAGAGATATTTATGCTCATTGGGATTAGCAGATTCCTTGATTTAAAAAGGAGTTTTATTATTGTCTTCAGTAATAATAAAAAGCTACAATAAATAGCCATACATTACTGGCAGAATGTTGTACAGAAACAATAAAACTTTACAAAGCCTGTCCTTTTTCACTATACACGATGCATATGTTTGTGTATACCCTCGCCCCTCCAGTCTCAAGTCCTGTTACAACACAGAAGTAAATTACCACAACCAACAGAGCACTCAAGGATTACCCTCTTTCAGGATTAGCATTCACTACCTGTGAGGCTTTGTGCGTGTGTATGTGCCTAATCGTAAGTGCGATTAGAATTGTGTGCTTTTGTCAGCATACATGTACTGTATGTGTGAGTCAGATAACCAAAAAAAGAAAGTTTGACATTGAGTCGTAAGCTGCTTTGTCGATGCATAATTCATCTCCTTCTATAGACTGAGCCTTAAACACTTTGAAACTATCTTAGGTCGTTCAGCTTGAGCTAAGACAAACTACACGGCCTCAATTAAAAGTTATTTTTCTAAGAGTTGTATTTACAAGAGAAACTTCAATGCTTGTACTTCTGTACTCTGTCAGAAGTAGTTGATGTTTCCAGATGGCATTCACAGCCACATGTAGCTGGTTGACTTTAGACTTTGCAAGATTTTCATCTAACAATTTTTGGCTTGACAAAATACAAGTTTCCGAAACTAGTAAAAGTAGGTGGATAAGCAAGAAATGTTATTTCTTTTGCAAAAATTAATTTTTTTTGAAATCACATAAAATTGACAAATGTACCATTTTAGAATTATACATGTTTGCAAGTTAGCATTGCCCAGAAGAGCTGATTATTTTTAGTGTCCTTCAATATTTTATGTAAAAAATATAAACTGTGAGTAAATGGTAATTTTCACTGAACATTCTTGAGTAATTTAGCGGTTGTGTTTTTATTTATTTTTTTGACTATGGTTTGATAGATATTACTGTTTTATATAAACACTTGTTTCCTGAAATGAAAATCTGAAAGACAAACAAAACGGAGTGATATTTTTAGTTGTTGCCTTTAATATCAGAACGCAGTATCCAGCAACATCTAGACAATCACAAGCAGACAAACTTTTACTGGGATCAGTGGTAAATTAAAAATACCCATTAGTATGTAACGATGTGCTGTAACTTTAGGCTTTACTGTGACTGACCCTCCTCTGAATGCTGTGCTTCCAGGACCCGGCCGACTGCTCCTGTGTGCTCCGAGCTGCAGGCTAAAGTGCTTCAGTGTTACAGAGAAAACCCACAGCAGACCCTGCACTGCTCCAGCTTGGCCAATCAGTACATGACCTGTGTTCAGCAAGCAAAGAAGGTAGGAGTTGGGCCTGCATGTGGGTGTTGGAGCATAAGAAAAGAAAAAAAAATGCCTTGTTTTTTTCTTTTGAGGGTGTTTTTTAATCTTCTCAGCTGTGAATTGTCAGCTTCGTTTTGATTCTGCAAGTAAAACTAAATTATTATAAAATTACACTTTTATTCTATTTTATTGCCAGCTGATACCTGTGCAAATATGTTCAAAATGTATGTTTCTGCTGAGTGCTTATTTACTTAATGTTTATATTAAAAATTAATGAATTGAGGTTTACGTGGACAATATTGGAGGGAGAAAAAGTTGGCTGGATTTTTCTTGTTGCTTAAAGCAACACCTTGACATATTTGAAGAGGATTAAGGGAAGACATGACTGGATACTAAATGAGGCATCAGCATTTCCTGTTTTATTAGAGGAATGTCAGCTTGCTTAAATACATTATGATTAGAGGTCAAAGTCCAGTTCTCTTTTTTGACTTTTTACTCTTGCACATTATAGGAAAAAGCATTAATTTGGCTTCAGAGTAGTAAAAAGCTCTTGTTCAGTTACTGGTCATAAAATTAGAATATCATAACAAAGTTGATTTCTTTCAGTAATTCCACTTACTGGTAGCTTTGGCAGTGTGCAGGCGCCTGTTGGGAAATGAAAGCTGCTTCTCCATAAAGTTGGTCAGCAGCAGGAAGCATGAAGTTCCCTAAAACTTCCTGGTAGATGGCTGTGCTGACCTTGGACCTCAGAAAGCACAATGGACCAGCAGATGATATGGCACCCTAAACCATCACTGAAACTTAACACTGGACCTCAAGCATTGTGGATTCTTCCTCTGGACTCTGGGACCTTGATTTCCAAAGGAAATGCTAAATTTACTTTCATCAGAGAACATACCTTTGGACCACTCAGCAGCAGTCCTGGGGCCTCATTTATCAAGCTTGCTTACGCACAAAACGGGGTTGTAAAACTGCGTAAGCAACTTTCCATGCAAACTTTGGTATTTATGAAAGAAAACTTAGCGGAAAAATTAGCGCAACTTTAAGTTGACTAAGGACCTTGCTCACGCACATTTTGGACATGGAGAGCACCTGCAGTGCTGCTGCTGAGAAGGATAAAATTATGAAATCCTTCAGCATTATCACTTGTACTGCTTCGTTTTCACACAGAACAAGACCCCCCACACGCACACACGCGCGCACACATGCACGCACACTCACACCACGCGCACACTCACTCACACACACACACACACGCACGCGCGCACACATGCACGCACACTCACACCACGCGCACACTCACTCACACACACACACACTCACGCACACACAGCCTGAAGCGCAGAATACGGAATGCAGAATATCAGCAGGGGTACAGATTGAGACAGAATGTCTTGCGTCTGTGACAATGTGTGTTCTGTCACTGTGACCAGATTGATCATACGCCCTGGCTACTTGGACAAGGGAGAGCTCTGTTTGGCTGACTGGTTAGCGCACGTGACTTTCACCCGGGAGTCTGGGGATGGAATCCTGATTGGACCATTTTTTGTTATATCCGCCACAGATCTCTCACTCTGAAGAACTCATAACAATGACGGCTTCAGCAACTGTCTTGGATTTTATCAATATGTTTATCAATATCAATAACCCCATTTCCTATAGTGAAGGGAGAAGGAGACAATGAACAGACAAGTCAAACAGTTATAACTGTGGCATAATGCACGAGGCAAATGCCCCGAACATCCCTTCACAGAGTTTATTTATAGAGAGATTGGAGTGAGAGAGAGAGAGAGAGAGAGAGAGAGAGAGAGAGAGAGAGATTGTGTGTGTGTGTGTGTGTGTGTGTGTGTGTGTGTGTGTGTGTGTGTGTGTGTGTGTGTGTGTGTGAGTTCTGAATTAGTGGGCATGCAGAGAGGCATAGAGCAATACATATTACGTTCAGCTGATTGAGTCCATGATCAAGAATTAATAAACATAAATTTTCCATAACTTTCCCTCCTGTTTATCTGAATAGGATAACCAAACAGAAGGAAGCAACAAAACAAAACCAAATAAGGAAAATAAAAATAAGTAAAATAATAAGGAATAGTGTCCACTTCCATAACTTGTCACCATTAACTATGATAGCTACATCAATCACGAATCAAGGAATAGAAAAGGGGTAAAACCAGGAAGGCTGATCATCTCGGTAGTCATAAGGACCAATAGGGTACAAATCAAGTAACTCAAGACAAAAATGATAAGCATCAAAACAAGAAAAATAATAAGTAAGGTAATAAACACTATGATCAGATATGAAAGGTTCAGAATCAACACGATGAAGTGGGAACACAGCATGTGGTGCTGCAATCATTTGTCTATTGCGGATCGTAATCTCAATCCTGATAACGTCGTCCAACGGATCATTTCATCTAAAGTGTAATACAAAAATCAGCAAAATAATAAGAACTAATAAGGTAATAAACACAATAAGGCAAACACAACTGACAATAATATCGTACAGCATTTCACAGAGATAGAGAATAGAATCAGCTAAATCAACACAATTACAACCTTAAGAAAAGCTATTTCATACATATCGACATGAATTTACTTTGATGCACAATTCTACGACTTATGGCAGTTCCTGTAAGGAGATTGGTAAGGGTTCGCAAAACCATATAATACACAGAAAATATCAATACAGTGTATTGAAAAATCAGGTGAATTTAGTTTAAGGCTCCAAGTTGCAGACAAATCTTTCTGTGAATGAGGGAAAATGAACGTTTACGCAGCTCTAACCGTGGCAGAGCTGAGGCAAACCAGGCGTTCCTCATCAAAGGGCTTGTCCGTGGACTGAGTCCCAATTGGAGAATAGGTTTGAGTGTCAGAGTCCTCTTCCGTTGATCAGGATGGTTTCAGTCTTACGTTGATAAGTATCTTGAAGTCCAGGTCCGGAGCGTAATAATGTAGTTCGGAACATGAAGCGCACAGTTCAACTTCTCAATAGGAAGACTTCAGGGTCCTTCTGTGGCGTGTCGAGGCGGTTGTCCAATTGTCAGGGAGCTGATCTTGTCCCCGAAAAGTCTTTCAGGTCCTTGACCGTGAAACCAGTCTGGAGATTTGGGTGCAGGTGTTTGAGATAGTTGATCATTTTCCAGCGTCTGTTCTTCGCTGTGTCCTGTTGTAGTTGCGTCCAGGGGTCGTCAGCCGAGGTGGATGCAGGTTACGTCGTGAATTAGTGGGCATGCAGAGAGGCATAGAGCAATACATATTACATTCAGTTGATTGAGTCCATGGTCAAGAATTAATAAACATAAATTTTCCATAACAGCAACGCTGTGCCACTCCGTGAATTTTCTATTTGTTTTGCAAAAGCACTTCCTTTCATTTCTCCACCTCACCCACAGTTATCTCAATTTCTGCTTCTGTGAAATTGTGCTTCCTTGATCTGCCTTGATCTACGGTCGCCATCGTCATTAGCGGAGCGCTGCAACAGCCGGCTTATGTATATGCATGAGATCCACAAGGCAGTTTGCATTGACTATTTATGGCAGAAAGTGGGCGTGGTGAGGGCGGGATGTGACTAAAATGCAGCTGAGAAACATTGTCGTTAGTCTCCGATTTATGAAGCGGAGATTGCGTGCAGCTGTGCGTACTCCATGTTTGATAGATCACAAACCTACTTGGCAAAAGTACATTTTTTTGCTGAGCTTAAGTACGGTTCTAGTAAGGATTCTACGCAATGTTTCATAAATGAGACCCCTGTCCTTTTTGTCTTCAGTCCAGGTGAGACACTTCTGATGCTGTCTCTGTTCAAGAGTGGCTTGACCTAAGGAATGCGATAGCTGAAACCATGTCTTGCACACTTTGTGTGGTGATTCTTGAAGCACCGACTCCAGCTGCAGGCCACTTTTTGTAAATATCCCCCACATTTTTGAATGGGTTTTGTTTCTCAATCCTCTCCAGGGTGCAGTTCACCCTATTGGTTGTACACTTTTTTTCTACCACATCTTGTCCTTCTCTTCGCCTCTCTATTAATGCGCTTGGACACAGGGCTCTGTATACACCCAGCCCATTTAACAATGATCTTTTGTGTCTTGCCTTCCTTGTGAAAGGTGTCAATAGTCGTCTTTTGGACCAATGTTAAGTCAGCAGTTATTTTCTTTGTTTGTGTCGCCTACAGAATTGGACTGAGAGATCACTTAAACACTTTTGCAGGTGTTTTGAGTTACTTAGCTGATTAGAGTGTGGCATCGGAGGTCTTCAATATTGAACCTTTCACAAAAGTCTAATGTTGTGAGATATTGAATTTGGGATTTTCATTAGTTGTCAATTATAATCATCACAATTAAAAGAAACAACAAATTTTGAAATATATCAGCCTGTGTCTAATGAACAAATCAAATATACTAGTCATTTTTTGAAAGAAGTTACTGAAATAAATCAACTTTGGTATGATATTTTATGGACCTGTATGTGGGTTATTTATTTATTTTTATTAAGACTCAACTTTCTGTGATGAGAGTTGTCCCCAAAATGATAAAATTCAGATAAAAACACCAAAGGCAGACTGAGAGATTGAAAGGTGGTGTGTTTGTGGAGGTAAAAGGAGCTTTGATTAATCACAACAGCACCACATTGGTTCCTGCCACAAAGACTTTGTTGGTTACTGAAGACAAGAACCAGAAGTTTAGTCTGCAGGTAAACACTGATTTGACGCAAGGTGTTTGGTTATTTACCAAATATTATAACACAAGATGCTAATAAATATCTTTTTAGATCTTTGTCATAATTGAATTGAATTGAATTCCTTATTGTCATTATGCATACACATAAGATTTGGTTGGGAGCTCTCAGCTTAAAGGGCAGTAAGACCACAAATAGAACAATAAAAACACGAAGAGTAAAAAAGAACAACACATGACCATCCCTTTAGGGAGCCATACACACACTAGTAAAATGAGTAAAAAGAAGCAATGGAAGATAGAAATGTACAATTACTTTGGATATGGTTTAATGATGAAAAATCTGAGGGG